CAATTAGGAATATCCTCTATAAAATGGCGTAGCCATTCAGCCTCTTCACAACCTTTGTCCAAGGCTATCAGCTCAGATTCCATCGTGGATCTAGCTATCACAGTTTGCTTAGAGGATTTCCATGCAACGGCTGCACCGGCTAGTGTAAACACGTAGCCACTCGTGGACTTAGAGTCCTTAATATCAGATATCCAGTTCGCGTCGCTATACCCTTCAAGTACGGCGGGATATCTCCCGTAGTGCAGTCCAAGATCACGAGTATACCTCAAGTATCTCATAACCTTTACTATTGCCTTCCAGTGCATAGCACCGGGGTTACTCGTATATCTACTGAGTTTACTAACCGCATAGGCAATATCCGGCCTAGTACAGCTCATAAGATACATCAAACTACCAATAACCCGAGCATATTCCACTTGTGAAAAACCTTCTCCGTGGTTCTTGGTTAGATGAATGTTTGTATCAAATGGTGTCCTAGCCACTTGACTATCATCCTTGTTAAATTTCTCAAGGATTTTGTCAATATAATGTGATTGGCTCAACACGAGACCATCAGGTCTTCTAATGATTCTAATCCCGAGGATTAAATCGGCCAAACCCATATCCTTCATGTCAAATCTTGCATTTAACATGTTTTTGGTAGACTTGATCATCCGATCATTACTACCAACGATGAGAATATCATCGACATATAAACAAAGGATGACATAGCCGTCTATCGTTTCCTTAACGTAGACGCATTTGTCACTTTCGTTTATTTTAAACCCGTTAGTTAACATCGCGTGGTCAAACTTCTCGTGCCACTGCTTGGGCGCTTGTTTCAAACCATATAGCGATTTAACCAACTTGCACACTTTCCTTTCTTGGCCCGGAACCACGAACCCTTCGGGTTGTTCCATATAGATTTCCTCATCTAATTCGCCGTTTAAGAAAGCGGTTTTAACATCCATTTGATGAACTTCCAAGTTCCGCAACGCGGCTATGGCAAGTATCATCCTAATGGAGTTTATTCTCGTCACGGGAGAATACGTGTCGAAGTAATCGAGGCCCTCGCGTTGCCTGTAACCCTTGATTACAAGCCTAGCCTTATACTTCTCGATGGAACCGTCCGGTTTCATCTTCCTTTTAAAGACCCACTTGGATCCTAAGGGTTTACTACCCGGAGGAAGATCAACTAGTTCCCAAGTGTGATTTTGTAGAATAGAATCCACTTCACTTTTTATAGCCTCTTTCCACATTGGTCCTTCCGTAGAAGTCACGGTTTCTACATATGTTCGAGGCTCGTTCTCTATCAAACAAGATAGAAAATCGGGTTCATTTTCTAATAAACAAGTTAGAGTACCCGAATCGTACTCTAACAAGTAAGTTAGAAAATCAGGACCGAATGATTTTCCAACTCTCGCCCGCTTACTGCGTCTCGGCTCGAGCTCGGGTTCTCTCTCGGATTCCCCACTATCATTATCCATAGTTTCGTCAAACGTTCGTTTTGACGTACTTGGTCCCTCGTTGGACCTACAAGGAAATATATTCTCGAAAAAATATGCATTCCTTGATTCTATTATCGTGTTCTCGTGTACGTCCGGATTATGGGACTCGTGTACTAAGAACCGATACGCACTACTATTATGTGCATAGCCAATAAAGATACAGTCCACCGTCTTAGGACCTATCTTTACTTTCTTAGGTGTTGGCACCAACACTTTGGCAAGACACCCCCGCACTTTCAGGTACTGGTAGGAAGGTTTCCTACCGTTCCACAGCTCATAAGGAGTCTTATCGAGCTTCTTTCGGGGTACCTTATTCAAAAGGTAGTTACTTGTCAAAAACGCCTCACCCCAAGCATCTTGAGGTAGGCCCGAACTTATAAGCATCGCATTCATCATATCTTTCAATGTACGATTCTTTCGTTCGGCAACACCGTTCGATTGAGGCGAGTAAGGTGCAGTACGCTCGTGTATTATACCTACACTTGCACAGAAGTCACCAATAGGTGCTTCGTACTCACCACCTCTATCGCTTCTAACCTTCTTAATTCTTCGATTAAGTTGGTTTTCCACTTCATTCTTATAAAGAACGAATTTATCAACGGCTTCATCTTTGCTCTTAAGCAAATACACATAGCAGTATCGTGTGCTATCGTCGATAAATGTGATAAAATACTTATTACCACCTCTCGTTTGTATCGATCTAAAATCGCACAAATCACTATGGATTAATTCTAGTGGTTCAGTTTCCCTTTCAACCGATTTGAAAGGTACTTTAGTTAGTTTTGCCTCAACAAAAATTTCACACTTGTTATTTGTGTCAATATTAAAGTTAGGAATATGGTCCATGCTAATTAATCTATGCATAAAATTAAAGTTAACATGACCTAGTCTACCATGCCATAAATTGGAAGACTCAAGCAAGTAAACAGAATTAACTTTGCTTTTATTGATAACAAGAATTACACTGAGCTTAAAGAGCCCATCAGTTACATATCCTTTACCAACAAACATTCCTAACTTGGACAAAACTACTTTGTCTGACTCGAACACCATGCGAAAGCCATGCTTGTTCAACAGAGAGCCAGACACAAGATTCTTCCTCAGCTCAGGAACATACAGCACGTTGTTCCACGTTAGTTCCTTCCCGGAAGTCATCTTCAGAACCACCTTGCCCATGCCTTCCACAGCAGACTGAGCAGAGTTTCCCATCCACACCTTTTCACCCTCAACGGTCTCAAAGGTGTTGAACATCTCTCGGTTGCAACACAAGTGCCTGGTTGCACCGGTATCAATGAACCATTCACGAGGGTTTGAGCCCACGAGGTTCACCTAGGTCACCATAGCCGAAAGGCTAATCTCGACCTCCTTCTGATTGCTATCTCCAACAACATTGGCTTCAGAACTCTTGTTCTTCTTCCTTGGAGCCTTGCATTCAGATGCTCTGTGGCCATGCTTGCCACAATTGTAGCATTCACCAGGAAACTTGTTCTTGGTAACGCCACCTTTCGGACCTAGCTTTCGCTTATCCTTCTTGTTCCTCTTGGAGCTCTTACCGTGCTCCACAACATTGGCCTTAGCGCCAACAACGACAGGAGCCTTCCTATCATTCATCCTGTTCCCTTCCTCAATCCTGAGTCGTTGGATCAGGTCCTCCAGATTCATCTCCTTTCGCTTATGCTTAAGGTAGTTCTTGAAGTCCTTCCACCCTGGAGGCAACAAATGGATCACAGATCCCACCTGGAAGGCTTCACTTAGCACCATGCCCTCGTCACGGATCTCATCAAAGATTAATTGCAAATCTTCTGCCTGACTTAGCACGGTCTTCGAATCAACCATTTTGAAGTCGAGGAATCGGCCAACTACAAATTTCTTTGAGCCGGCATCCTCACTTCGGTATTTATGATCCAAAGCTTCCCACAACGCTTTTGATGTGCTTATCTTTCGATATACATCATATAGCGTGTCACACAATCCATTCAGGATGTAGTTTCGGCAAAGGAAGTCCGAATCCTTCCAATAGTCAACCGCCATCACGGATTGTGCATCTTGTTCCTTCAACTCGGGAACACTCTCGGACAAGAACCTTGCCAGGCCGAGAGTTGCTAGGTAGAACAACATCTTCTGTTGCCACCTCTTGAAGTTCGAACCAACACCGGTGAATTTCTCCGGCTTTTCAGCCGAACAACTCGGTACCGAAGGTACCCGAGACATGGGAATATATCCCTCAGTGCTCCCACCATCTTGTGAACCAACGTTCACTGGTGTAGCTTGGGAATTAGCAACATTGTTGCCATTCCCTCCACTGTTATCCGCAACCACATTATTGTTGCCATTTCTTCCATTGTTGTCCGCAACAACATTATCCTCCCCAGAAATTGGCAGTACGGGATGCTCCATTTTCTTCAAGGAAATTCGGAGAAGACCACCAACGGGAAAACAAATATATAAGGTTTTAAGACTGTTGGAACCGTTGGTAGGAAAACAAATAATAATCAAATAAAATTGACTATTATTTTCTGGAAAGAAGGGAAGAAAAGATGAAGAAAAATGGCTAGTGTTTGGTGTTGGGTTTTTGCAAGAGTCGAGTGAGCACTTTTTCCTTAAAACCTTATTTGCCACCTCCCAAAGATGCTAGGAGCGTTGTGGCCTAGGCTTCCCAGGATAAAACTTGCTATGATTCAGTGTTTGAGCATTCAAACAAAGAATCCGGCGAGCAAGACGCGGTTATGAACACAGTTGGCAAAGAAAGGGAGTAGAAGCAGAATTTTGAGGCTGGAAAACAATATTTCATGTACAGTGATAGTGCTGTAGTGTTGTAAAAATCTGCTTCTCACTACCTCTCTTATATAGGGGTGAAGGAGCCAATAGCTTTTAATGAGGCACTTTAAGGCACCCCCCACTACACCTTGTAACAGCAACATTTACCATGGGTTTCAATTCAAAAATAAAGATTGGAATTAATTCCGTAACAGTAAGAATTGAACCCAACGGTCACAGAAAGCAGTACAGGTTCGTGTAGGCCGAAACTTCCAGTTTCGACCATCAGGCCGAAACTGGAAGTTTCGGCCTTGGTGCCTTGTCTCGTCTCGGCCTCCTTTGGCCGAGACCACAGTTTCGGCCCATGGCCGAGACTTGGATGGCAGTTTGGCTGAAACTGCTCCAGTTTCGGCCAACCTAGTGGCATTGTGTTGGAAAATTACTCCGGGGCCGAGACTTGGATGGCAGTTTGGCCGAAACTGCTCCAGTTTTGGCCAACCTAGTGGCATTGTGTTGGAAAATTATTCCGGAGTTTGGCATAACTTAGCCCGCAAGGCCAGCCAATTTCCGGACGACATTCGTGCCCGCAGGTGCCGGCGCACACGAGCTCGGGCTTGTGTCAAGCCTTTTTCAATCTCTGCTAGTTGGAATTTGATTTGCACCCCCCCACCCCTGCCCCCGTGCGAGAGAGCCTCTATGCTATACAATTCTACAAGCTTCAAAAGAGCTCTTGTATATAAGGGGGGAAAATCTTCATTCCAAAGCAATGTGGGACAAAAGCTCACTTTTTCCCTTCATTTTCCAACTCAAATGGGTCTACTTTGAGAATCAATATCTCATTCACCCATTATCCGTTTTGAGCGTACAATATATCAATCTCTTCGTCTCACTACGAAGTATCCGAATCCACTTTGATCCGACCCAAATCGGAAGTGGACCCCACTGATAATTGTACCACAAAAATAGCCACTTAACATGCCATTTTATGTCATTTTAAGCTATTTTTCCAACAACTGTCACTACATTACATAGACGAGCATAACTTGTTCCTCAAAACACGTTAAATTTAGGTGAACTACACACCCATCTTACGTATTTCTACCACCGATCGCACACAACCCCATGACCAACTACAAAAGTTGGTAACATGATAAATAAAAAAGAGGAAAAAATAAATCATAACTACAAACGAGCCGAATAAACTCAGCTACACTTCATAAATGCACAAATACAGTCAACAACGACACACACAGCAACACAACAACCCAGTAAAACAAAAAAAAAAAAAAAAAACAAACTATACAGTACCTAAACTTGCTAACACGCTAAAAAAAAAAAGATGAAAACAAATGAAAATTGCATACGAGCCCGGAAATCACAAATACAGTACACCACGACACTGATTATATAAACAATGAATAACGATGGACACAATGACATACATGTTGACTCCATAGCAACAACCAATCTCCACAAAATACCGAAGAATGAAAGAAAGCTTGGGAAACTTCAGAAGAAAAATGACGCCAGACGAGAAAGACTGTGAAACGGAAATGATTAGAGGAATCCTACATTACCTTAATTATTCATCCAAAAAATATGCATAATAAAACTAATCTAATTAAAACTAGGAAAGATAAATAAACTCATTTACTAAAAAATCCCTACCATGCAAAAAGGAAAGAAAAAAAATAAAATCACATCCACACATCTGAACAAAATTCATGGCTAAGATTAATTCTCACGTCCTCACCTAAGGATGAGTACTCATTTGATCCTTAATATATATATATATATATATATATATATATATATATATATATATATATATATATATATATATATATATATATATATATATATATATATATATATATATATATTAAAGCATAATGAAGTATGAAAAACCTCTCCAAAGTTTAATAAAACAGAATCTAGCCACAAAATTTTCCCTCCAAAGTGTGAATGCGTTAATTGTGTGGGTAGATGTATTTATACATATTTTTTGAAGTTATTATGTGTATTTATATTTTATAAATTATATTTTATTATTATAGCTTTATCTCTATCTATATATATATATTAAAGCATAATAAGGTATGGAAAAAAGTTTATTGTGTTCAAATTTATTGGTAAAATTTTATATTTAATATATTTTTTGTATATATTCATTTAAACCTCAATTATAATTAATTTGACTCCACATATATTGTTAGGAATATAACGGAATAATGCAGAAGCGAAGAATCGAAAATTGAGAATTATAGAAGTTAAATAATAGGAAAATTATATAAATGAAGAAAATTATATAAATGACAAAATAAGAAGTTGCTAAATTGGGATAAGATATAATAAATATATATATTAATCTCAAAAGAGAATTACAAATATATATATATATATATATATATATATATATATATATATATATATAAGCTACGTGAAGAAAGAAAGGAAGTAGAATGAATTCAAATGATATTTATAAGAGGTGATTTACAAAGCAAAACAAACATGCTATTTATACATTCTAAATGAGAAGAAAAAAAAAACGCCATTAGCACATGCTATGCGGGAGATTATTGCGGCAATTGTGAGGGACGTGGGAAATGGAGAAAAACTGCATGGCGAGTGGTCTTAATGTATGAATTTGAGCCATACAATATTTATATCCTAACATATATAAAGAGGAGAAATTAGATATAAAATAAATATAGTTCATACATAAATAATCTTTTTCAAAATAAACACATAATATCTCTCTCTAGGGTTTCTTTCTACCTAGGGTTTCTCTAGGTGTTTCTTGTCGATCCATCGACGGTTTCTTGCGAAGATTTCCAATTTGTGCAGCGTAGCAGCCGGTGTAGCGTGATGGCGTCGTCTTCAGTCGTGCCAGAAGTCGCGGGACTTACGGCCAGGTGGGCGGATATCGTGTTGGAGGAGGAAGCGTCGGCGTTCATGCCGGATGCAGAGACGGATGACGTCGAGCCTACCGGCGTTGTGGAGGAATGTTGGTGTGTTGTGGGGAGGTTCTTGACACGGAAGCTTGTCAGGTTGGAATTCATGAGCCAGGTCTTGGCTTCGGTATGGCAACCGGTGAGCGGAGTCGAGGCCACGGAGATAGAACCTGGTCGTTTCCTGTTTGTTTTCCATCATATAACTGACATGGAACGAGTACTGAACGAGGGACCCTGGTCTTTCGATAATAGCACGCTGGTGTGTAAGCAAGTCCCGGACGGAGTCATGCCGGTGGATATAGTTCTGGATACGGTCGATCTATGGGTTCAATTACATGGACTACCGAAGGGTTACTCGTCCAGCCGGATTCTGGAGCAGATTGGAAATTTCTTGGGCAGCTTTTTTAAGAGTGATGATCGTTATGACAATGTGCCATGGAAGGTGTTCCACCGTATTAGGGTTTCGTTGCCTGTTGATTAGCCCTTAAAGAGACGAATGAATTTCATTAAACGGGACAAAACAAGTTGCTGGGTCACGTTCAAGTATGAACGTTTACATACATATTGTTACTTCTGTGGGTTGCTCGGATATTCGTATCAGTTTTGCCGTGGGGCGAGGGATTCGAAGGTGCCGGTCGACGAGTACTTGTATGGCCCGGAATTGCGGGCGGGGGGGGAGTTGTGGCCCCAGGCCGGTAGGCGGAAGTTGGCTGTTGCCGACCGGACGACATGCAAACATGCGGAAGCCGCAAGCTCCACTTGTGTCCGAAGGGCGGCTTCCGGGTAGTGGGAATCGGGCCACTGAGGCCGTAGAGGCGGAGGTGGTGGCGGTTGCCAAGCGGCGCCGAGAAGAGATCAGTGATGAAGGACGGGTGGGTGTAGAAGGGGATGTTGTTATGACCGAATTTTCAAAAAACTTGCAGCAGGCGGGATCTGGTCTCCAGACCCGCCTGGATCAATGAGTACCCTCAGCTGGAACTGCCGTGGCTTGGGTAATCCACGGACAGTTCATGAGATTGTGGACATGGTGTCCCGTAAGCAACCCGACTTTGTATTTCTGATGGAGACTAAGGTGGGGCGCGATGACGCAGAGCGGATTCGTGTCAAAATCGGTTACGAAGGCCTGTTTTATGTTGATAGTGATGGTTTGAGTGGTGGTATAACGCTATTGTGGAAGAAGAATAGTACGGCACGACTGTTAAGTTACTCAACGAACTATGTGGATGTTGAGGTAACTATCACTGGATATCCAGAATGGCGAATGACGGGGTATTATGGTTTTTTCGAACGAACAAGACGCGCTAAGTCATGGGATCTCTTGAGAACATTATCGGCCAGATCTGACCTCCCGTGGGTGGTTATTGGAGATTTTAATGATTTGTTATATGAGTATGAGAAGAGAGGGGGGAATCCACATCCGAATAGCCTCCTACGCGGTTTTGGGGAAGCTCTTGACGACTGTGGCCTCGCCCAGATGCCTATGCATGGATATCTGTATACGTGGGAAAAGGGGAAGGGGACGGAGAATTGGATGGAGGAGAGGCTTGATAAAGTTCTGGTAACAAATGAGTGGCGTAGCATGGTAACTGGGGCCAGGATGATGAATTTGAGGACTCGGAAATCAGATCATTCGGCCCTCTTTCTGGGAATCCATGAGTCCTTAGGGAGGAGTGGACCTGGTAGGAGGGGTTTCCGGTTTGAGATGGCATGGTTGCATGATGAGGGGTGCAGGAATGTGGTTGAGCAGTCTTGGCAGGAGGGAAGGGGGCAGGGCTTGCAAAGCTGTATTCAGTACTGTGGGGACCGGTTAACACGATGGGGTGGAGACCGGTATCACAAGTACGGGAAACGAATTAAAGAGCTGACAAGGGAACAGCAGCGACTGAGGGGGCGTATTGACCTGGCCTCGCTGGCAGAGTTCCAACGCCTGGAACAGCAACTGAGCTGCACTGAAGCCCAGGAGGATGCCTACTGGAGGCAGAGAGCCAAGCAACACTGGCTCAAGGGAGCGGATGCTAATACGAAATTTTTTCACAGGTACGCCTCTCACCGAAAAAAGAAGAATAATATTTCTAGATTAATGAATGATGATGGGGAGTGGGTAGAGGGGGAGCCTATGAAAAGTGTTATTATGCAATATTTTAATAGTATTTTCTCCTCTGGAACACCGGGAACTGGGGAGGATTTCTTTGAGGGGGTTAATCCGCGAGTCACTCAGGCACAGAATGAGTCGTTGTTACGACCCTTTGAGGTGGAGGAGGTTAAGAATGCACTATTTGCAATGTTCCCAGATAAGGCACCAGGCCCGGATGGAATGAATTCGGGTTTTTATCAGCAATTTTGGGATGTGGTAGGGGGGATGTGGCAAGCTTCGTTGTGAATTGTGTTGAATCCTGTGATTTCCCACCTGGTTTGACTGATACTGATATTGTTCTGATCCCTAAGAAAAACACCCCTGAATTAGTGACTGACCTGCACCCTATAGCTCTCAGTAATGTGATTTATAGAATCATGGCGAAAATGTTATCTAACAGAATGAAGCCATTGATGGAGGAAATAATCTCGGAGTCACAAAGTGCCTTCATCCCAGATCGACTAATAACAGATAATATCCTATTAGCTGCGGAGGTGGGACATTTTTTGAATAGGAAACAATGTGGAGTGGGGGGATGGAGTGCTCTTAAGCTGGATATGGCGAAGGCATATGATCGTGTGGAATGGTCTTTCCTTAGAAAGATGATGCTGGCTTTGGGGTTTCATGGTGGATGGGTGGAATTGATTATGAAGTGTGTAACCTCAGTTTCTTACAATATTCTGGTGAATGGCTCAAGATGTGATCCTATTATGCCAACACGTGGTTTAAGGCAAGGGGATCCTTTGTCCCCATATCTATTCATTATTTGTGCAGAAGGTCTGTCTCTATTGCTACAGCAGGCACATACTGTGGGGTCATTACATGGGTGCAGGGTAGCCAGAGGTGCTCCCCCAATCTCTCACTTATTCTTTGCAGATGACAACTTCTTATTCTTTAAAGCTAATGTGGAGGAAGCAAGTGAAATCAAAAGATGCCTATCTGTGTACGAGGATCTGTCAGGGCAGACAGTAAACTATCATAAGTCAAGCATATGTTATAGTAAAAACACAAGTATGACTGATAGGGAAAATGTGGCTCAGATTCTGGGAGTGAC